GCACGGACTCTGGCCAGCTCTGACCTGGGGAGGGGACAGATGTTTGGGGGGTGACAAGTCCAGGCAGTCAAGACAGCCTCAATTTATGGGCCAAGGTTGCTTCTAAGCTAAATAACAACAGATTTTGGAGAAGCTGCTTCCCGAGAGCCTCGCACTGGGACAGGCCCCTCTGCGGGCAGCCGGCACTGCTGGGTGCTCTCCGGCCGCAGTGTGATGGGACCCCAGGGTCTCCAACCCACCAGCTCTCCCAGTGAGAAAAGGGATCGCTTAAACCTCCCAGCAACCGCCTGGAGCTTGTTGACAGGCCCAGTGGCACAGCAAGGCTGGTTTAAGGCACATGGGCTTGTACCCAGAGACCTGGGTTCACGCACTCTGTGAAGGGAACCAACGCTTCGTTACTGCCGTTAAGGCGTTAATTAGCGCAGGCGGGCTTGCAGCACCGGGCAGTCAGGCAGCTTCTGGTTCTCAAGCACCATCCTCTCCAAGGTGGCTACGGATCAGGCAGATGCTGAACCACATCTTTGGGGTGGAGACACAGTAGCAACCAGGTGCTGCCTAAAAATGGCCCAGGGCTGGCCCTGGGGACAAGGTGACAGCCCAGCGACCCCGTGGCTCGGCCCCTCTGCACGTGCCACCAGTGACTGCGCTGACAGAGCTCCTCATCGTCACGGGGTCCTGCTCAATGACGGCCCAACGGCTCTCAAGCTCGTCTGTTCTCTCTAAAGGGCCTCTTGTTCGTCTTGTCCCGCCACACCAGACTGATGCACTGCCAGGCTGCACGGTGACACCTGGCTCCCGTGCAGGCTCACAGGGCACAGCAACTGCCACCCAGCCGTGGACAAGTGACTGTCAACCACCGGTGTCCAGTCTGTCACCCTGCAGCCCGTCTCCTCGCTGGACCTGGCCTCCTTCCACAGAGGGAAGGGGTCCTGCGTGCGGATGCACGTGAGGTTTAGGACTCTGAACCTGCCCTAGTCCAAGATGAGCCTGGGGAGACAAGCGGTGGGCGCTTTTCCCCAGGGACACCCTCTGCGCAGGCACAGCGAGGAGAGCAGAGAGGAGCCGTCCCTGGATTCACCCATTAGTGTGTCCTGCTGGCCTGGGAACGCCGAGGCGTGTGTCAGCACACTCATCTCCCTGGGGCTGCGGGGACAAGACCCCTTTCTCGCGCGCTGGAGGACCCCACCAGCCCGAGGCACTGACCTTCTCTGGCGCCATGCTGGGACACTTCCAATTGTACAGGTAATACTGCAGGTTCCCGTCCCCAATCCCAAACTTCAGCTTCTCCAGGAAGGTTTTGTTTTCCATGAGATCCAGTGCATTGAAGACGTCGAATCCTTTCTGCAAAGGCAAGACACGAAGCCATCAGCTCCTGCTTAGGTGCTGGGGAGTTCCTCCCATCTGTGAGCTAGCTGCCCCCCCTCCGTCAGCTTTGCACCCCCAGAAGGGACTGAGGCTGATGGGGAAGGATTTAGCATCGACGTACCCACCCTCAATTCAAGCACTACAGATGCAGGGCGATATCGTTTGCTGTAAGAAATAAGCAGACACCCTGAGCTCAGCCCAACGCTGGCCAGAGGGTTCAGACTACCCCTGCGTTCTTCTCCTGGGCAGCAGATCCTTTAGGATTTGGGTTTGTACATCCCTGCCCCGCGGCCGGCCCTCCCCACAAACCCAAGGGTGGCCATGCGAGCAGGGAGCTGCCCGGTGCCCGGCAGTGCCGCCCCAGCCCCGCCATCACTCACCGACTTGGCGAGTATGAGAGCATCGCTCATGAGGTCGATGAGAGGCGTCTTGGTGTGGACATTGTAGAAGGAGTAAGCAGCTTTCAGGCTCTTGTGAGTTGGGTGGTTCATGATGGTGGAGGGCAGCGTGTAGAAGCTCAGGAAGTCTGTCACCTCCCCCGGAGCGCTCTGGAAGCCAAAAGTGACACCGCAACACGTCAGAGCCAGGATAAAGCCCAGCCGGAGCCTTAGAGGGACTTTGCTAGTCTTGAGTGAAGCATGGGCTCCCTGTGAGGAGACTTGGGGCAGCCCAGGATGGAGAGGCACCATCTTCCAGCAGCGCAAACCTCCCACCCTGGAAGAGCATCTCGCTGCCCAGGGCACCAACCTCCCCGATTGTTCCCACAGCCGCCGCACACTCTTCCAGTGGAGGCAGAAGGCCAGGAAAACACCTCCCAGTCCTGCTCCTGCCCCCTCACCTCTACCACGAAGGTGTCGATGATGTTCTCCTGAGGTAAGAACCAGTGCTCCACCTCCTCTCGGCTCATGACGGGCGTCAGGTGGAACTGCTTCAGGTACTCGGTCAAGAGCTTGTGCACTGCAGGGATATCTCTGTGCTCCATTGGCCGCAAGCCAGGAGTCTTGGGAGTCTACAGAAAGTGGGACAAATCGTTTGCGTTGCTTGCACGGTGGCTTTTATCACTTGAGGGCTCTCCAACAAACGACACAGAGATGCTCTCTGCTTAGATCAGCCCGTTTTCAGTCCCACAACCCAGCACTCTCCCCCAGCCCTGCTTGCCTGGCAGGATGGAAGGGATCAGCCACGGCACCGATGGCAAAGATGGCAGAGAAGCACAGTGGGTCCCAGAGCCCCACGTGCCAGGTCAAGTCCTGCTGGAAATGGCCTCCTACCCACCAACCACACAAGATCTCTGCTTCCCTCCACGTTTCTGCTCCCACACGGCAGGGACAGGCTGGGAGACGCGCCCTGGGCACCGCAAGGAACCGCCTGATGGTATTTCCAGTCAGACTTAATCCTAATCTAGGGTCAGGATTGCTCAGCAAAGCCCAGATCAAGCAGCACGGACTGCTTCTGGGTCTGGGGTTCTGCGCAAAAGTCGGTAGCTACAGAAGAGCAGCTGGTGCCTTTGCTGAGGCGGGAGGCAGAAGACAGGAGCCCAGCACTAAAGCAGCGCTCTCCAACCGAAACAAGCAGCTCTGACCGACAGAAGGAAGCCAACAAGGTCGGGGAAGGGGGTGGCAATTTTAATGTTTTGTTTGTTTTTTCTCCCATATCCAGCTGGGGAACTTCCCCAGCAGGACAACTGCAGTGACAGAACCGATCAGTTTGACTGAAGAATGAGGGACTAACCCAACTCAAGGTCGCTCTGAGGCTGTGTTTGGACAGATGAAGGCTGTCATATCTGTGTTCTCGTTTTACCAGGAGGACAGGATATGACTCAACATGAAACAAAAGCTCACAGGGTCCTCTAGCTGCAAGTATTTGCCCTTAAAATGCAGGTACCCGGGCAAAAATAAAGAAAGATTAAATAAAGCGCAATGGCTTGACAGAGTCATTTACTACATGAAACAAACCCCAGTTCTCCAGGCAGAGGACTCGACCTTGGCCAAGATGTCTGTGTCCCCAGTTCCCATCCCTCATCCCTCGCCCAGCGAGGAACAATTCATGAACTCTGCCTCTGCGGCTCACAGCCCCGCCTGGCACCCACCTCGGGCAACCGGTAAAGCTTCATGGTACGTTGCATAGTCATGTTCCTGCTCAGGTGGGAAAATTTGACCTCAATGAGCTTCCGAGGATTCAGGGACCGGTGCCAGTACCTGCAGAAACACAGACACGGTGGGAGACTTGTTCTTGGCCAGCAGGACAGCCGCACGGGCACGAGGTTCTCGTAGCTGCCATCAGAGGGCAAGCGAGAACATCACACTGGCTCGCGAAGAGGCCAGCAGCTCCCGCAGAGAAAAACAAGGGCAGCCTGAAGCGCTTGCGGTGCAGAAAGTCTCCTGTCTTGTGATACACGAGCAGCTTAAGCAAAGCTACTGGACTTAATCCTGGAAGGATGGTGTGGGGAGGAGAAACCTGGGCTGGAATCGATCTCTCCTGTCCCGGGGAATCCCACACATGTGACACAGCACAGAGGGGATCCCAGCAAGGGAAGGTCTGCAGACCAAAATCTCTTTGGAGAACCGGAGACACTCACCTGCAAGTCCCCACAGGCTTTGGCAGCACCACTCCCGCAGTGTAAACAGCCTGAAAGATTCCCTCCAGATGAACCCGCCGTGTGATCTCCCGGATCAGAACTGGAGCCACCCGTTTTGAGCGCAACTTTTTGTGGACGCACAGGAAGTTTATCTCTACCATCTTCTTCTCTCTTGGGAAAGAAACAATGCAGAGCATGAGACCCAACTGTCCTGACCCGGGAGGATCGCTGCAACGCCCTGGGCAATTTACCTCCAGCCTCTTCAAGGGAAAAAGGAGTCAAAGCCTTGGGGAAGGCCAAGAGGCAAGGGCTGGGTTTGGAGAACTCTCCCTTAAGCTGTTACCCAAGGTTTTTCCAGGGAAAACGCTCTCCATCCAGCTCTGGAGGATTTCTGTAAGCCAGAGCTCTGAGCTGACCTCCCTCATTGAGGTAAAGAGCCTTCACAGACACTAACTACAAGATGTCCTTGCACAGGACTTCACCGCCCACCTTAAATATTCCCCCACCTTCTCCAAGCAGCAAAACATCTTCATGGCTGAACGGTGTCGGTCTGGCTCAGCTGGTCGGGAGGACAACGTAGCCAGACCTCCTGAGCACCCCCAGGAAGCCCCACATGCCATCAAGGGGCAGGATGAGAAATTCAGCCAAGCAGCACTCACGTGTCATAGATGTGGATAGTGGCTGGAATCGCACTGATAAATCCAACGAGTTTCTTGCTGGAGACCACCCTGACCCCGCAGTGCCACTGGGGCAACCAGCCCGGAGGACGCAGCGCCCTGGAGAAGAGACACACTTCAGAAGTCACGTCCCATCAAAGGTGCCCTGTGTACCTGCTCCTGCCCCTCCATCCTGTCCTGGGACGCCCCATGTCCTGCTCCAACTGCCCAACGCAGCCGTGGGTTTGCAGGCAGGAGGAATGAGAGCGTGAGAGCGATGTGACATGGCAGGACCGCTGGGATCCAGGGCAATTCCTGCACTCCATGGCCAAGGCAAGTTCTCGCTAGTGACACAGGAGGAAAACCATGTTCCTCAATTCATGAATGCCCTGAGGAAACAGCAGCTCCACTGCAACAGGTCTCCAAGTGTCGTTGTTGGCAGCATTACTTGGCAGCTGCCTTCATCCTACAGCTCCAGGGCACTGGGAAGCTCCTCAGCTACCGTGATTTTTACAAATGCTTGAGGGATCAAAACAAAGAGGAAAAAAATCCAGTTTTAGGCTCCCGTATCATAAAGAACCCAGAGGCAGGCAGGGCTGGGTGAGAGACCCCTCTCACAGTGTACCTGGGACACCACACACGCATGCGGTGACAGGTGGGGAAGGGAGACTTCGGAAAGGAGTGAGATGGGACAAAGGCAGCTACAGCGCTGTCAGTGGGATCAGGCTCGCCAGCATCCAACACCCTCTGCTCCGCGGTCGTGGTGTCACTCACCACAGCAGGAACTCGGGAGAGTAATCGAAGCGGAACATGTTGTCGTCGTCCTCCACGTAGTTCTCGTTCAGAAGCGTGTACAGCTCTTTCAGCTAAAGCAGGAGAGACCAAGCAGGTCAAGGGAGTTACTCAGCCATCGCAACCCCCAGTTGCCCTGAGACGGGACCCTGAAGGCTTCTTGTGTGGCCACAGCAACGGGCACCACGTGCAGCCATGTCCCTGCTACCGGCACGTCCCCCTGCTCCAGGCTTCTGAACCGGCGCCACGCGAGCAGCAGGACACACAGTAAGTCCTGCTGCCCTCAAGTCATCTCCTGGGGATGGGTCATGGTCCGGAGGGTCTTCCTAAGGGAAAACTCCTGGCTTCAAGCATCCTTACGCTTAAAGAGGATGTGGAGAAGTCCCTGTTGATCCCCATGAAGAAACCAGCCCAACATGAGATGGGTGAGAGGTAACTGCACGGTGGAGGTCAGACCCATCTAACTCCAAGGAGACAGCACGACCACTGAGCTGGCGAGCTGCTCGGTGCAGTGAAAGACATGTTCCCGTCCCCAAAACCATCCTTGGCAATCCAGGCATGGAACTGCCGACCGTGCGATGGAGACACCCTCCCAACACGTGTGTGCCAAGCTGCCTGTACTCACCACGCCTCTATCCCCGAGGTCCAGGGCGTCCCAGGTGAAGCCCTGGGGCAAGGTGTATGGCTCCTGACGGATATTGTCTTTGTCTGGCTCAACGGGACCGTGGGTGTTCACCACTTCTCCTGTAAGAGAAAGCAGGGAGCCATGAAGATCCTTCTCTGCTGTTTGAAGCCAAGTCCTCACGATACCTGGATCTGGTGACCAACATGCCCCACTTCCCCAGTGTGATCTCCCACCCTAGGTCCCTGGCACAAGGATTGCCATTTCACCCACCCAGTTTGGGACGTGCCATGCATTCAATGTGACACGGAGGCAGAGAACCAAAAATCCTCTTTCAGGGGCAACAGTGGAGCCAATCGGGCAGCAGAGAATCACACAGAATCCCAGATTGGCAGGGGATGGCAGGGACCTCTGGAGATCATCTCATCCA